ATGAATCGCGCTGCCATTCTTCCCCAAACAGGCTTCGAAGTCCATCCGTATATCTCCCCCTCGGCCATCCTGGATGAACCTATCGAGACATTTGAAATCCACATTATAATTGTTGTTTTTGGTATTATGTTCTTGTTGTCACTAATCTTTCTGTCTTTTCGTTGGCTTTCTTCTTCTTCTTGAAGCTTCGAGACGTGAAATCCACATTATAATTGTTTTTGGTATTTTTGTTCTTGTTTTCACTAATCTTTCTGTCTTTTCGTTGGATTTCCTTCTCCTTCCGTTGTGTGCCCAGTATTAATATATTATCTACTGCGTAGTTAGCATTCTCTGTATCTACTGGTTCTTATGATTCTTAATTTATCAAATGTTTTTGCGTTAAATTATGAAACAGATACAATTCTTGCTGCTCCACAATTACTCGGTGAAAATCCCTTAAGACAAGATGCTAGTGTTCTTTCCCGCCATGAAACTAACTGCTATTTCCTCCCTTATTCTTACCTTTTAAAGGTTATAATTATTCACAGAATTTATTATGTTTTCAAGCACATAATACCTACGATTTCTATGTTTGTTGACATTTTTAGTATCATTGGCACAGGACGTTTGGCATGATGATGAATTATTTACACAATAAATAATGTGTTCTAAGTCTAATATCAGAAATTCCATATATTAGATGGTTTGTTAGTTTGATTGAACCGAAATTTTCATCTAAAACAAAAGCATCGATTTGTCCAAGTCGATGCACTATAGTCACATTAATATGCTGCATTAAAGTAGACATATCGATGCACATGTTACAGACGAAAGTTTAAACTATGAAAAACATTTAATATACGTATTTTGGGGGAAAATGTTATATGATGTTTGTTTTTGGAAAATTCGGGATTCTCTCGTGGAAAAACTATCTTTTCCGTATTTCTTTGTTTTCATTACGACTCTGATGGCGCTAGGCATTTGTTTTTCTTCTTTTAACTGAATTGTTCTCTTGTGTTGCCGTTATAGAAAACTTCAGTAGATTCCCTCAATTTTTTCTTGTTTCTCTGTATTCTTTTTTTTCACATTCCAGATCGCAATACTTTTTTGGGGTGGGGGGGGTACTAGTGAATTTCGCATTTCGTACACTATTTCGTGGTCCTTTCCATTTCAATTTCGTCGTTTTCTTCGCACAGTTAATATTGTTTTGTTTATGTGTTTCTCATTAACTGTGAATAGCTCACGATATCCTTATTATTCCATCTTCTAACACCTTTTAGATAATTTAATTTGTAATTTGTTTGTGTTTGAATCTTGTGTAAAGGCTGTTTGATGGCTTTGTTTGTCGCACTGCATTTGTAACTTTTTCGCAAAGACTATATATAGTCTTTGCTTTTGGGGGACCAGCGCCACGTTGCATTTTATATCAGTTCCCCCTAAATGTAGCTTCGATTTTATTTTCTGTTTAGTCTTGATTTACCTTTAATATTATCATTTAGGTTTCCTTTCCTTGAACTGACGTTAGTATAAACAATTTGGTTTCCTTTCCTTGAACCGACTTTCGTATAATCTGTGTCCTTTATATTATGTCTACGTGATTCCCATTTATTTAAAACGCCTTGGATGTTGACGAGACAATGTGTTTGTTTTCACTCTTATTCTTTGTATGACGTAATTCTTTTACCTTCATTTTGTTTTCACTTCTCCACCCCCCACCCCCACCCCCTTGACCACACAGTATAAGTGTGTCACTCTTTTCTTCTTACTTTAACATTTAGGTCACGCATAAATGATGTTAGTAAATCGTGTCCACAACTGTCATGAAGCTCTTTCCATATCTGATTTTGTTGTACAGACCTACATGGATAACCAAGATGCGTGGAAGGATATGATGTGTTATAGATGCTTGGACTGTTTGTGTGACGCGTCCATTTGGATTTCTGGAGGGACTGAATTGTGTTTTATTAATTTCACATGGCAGTTCGTTGGGTGTTTGTTTGTGTCTCTCCTTCGCTATCTCTTCTCTCTATCTATCTCTCTCTCTCGTTTCTCTCTCTCTCTTTCTCGTTTCTCTCGCTCTCTTTCTCGTCTCTCTCTCTCTCTCTCTCTCTCTCTCTCTCTCTCTCTCAAATATATATACAGAAATTGAAATGAATGTAAATAAGAATTGCAATAGATTACGCAATGCGAAATAATTAATAGGATGGAGAGACAGGTAGCTATGTTATTAAAGCTTATGGCAATATTAAAATACATCACAATTGTATGCACGGTCATATGCCCACGCGAAATAGGAAATGGAACGCGTACGCAAACATTTATGAGAGAGGTTAATTACGAGTTTCATTGGAAACAAAATGGTAAGCACAAACAGGAGCTGCACACATGCATCCTTTTTCTCCCATATAACACCCCCCCCCCCACTCTCTCTATCTGTCTATCTACTCCCCTCTCTCTTTATCTATCAATCCCTCTCTATCTATCTATCTATCCCCCTCTCTATCTATCTGTCTACCCCCCTCTCTCTCTATCTATCTACCTACCCTCCCTCTCTCTCTCTCTCTCTCTCTCTCTCTCTCTCTTCTCTCTTCTCTCTCTCCTCTCTCTCTCTCTCTCTCTCTCTCTCTCATACGTGCACACACGCGCGCGTAGGCGTCTGCAAGGTGAGTCTGCCAGGCAAAGACAAATTAGAAAGGTAAGTCAAGACGGAGAGGAATCCTAATAAGAAATCCTTAGCAAGCAAGAGGTCCCAGCAGATCCTTATCTTGCGCTGAAGGACTGCAGGATGCGCTTGAACGAGGAAGGAGTAAGATACTTGAATGCTTGTAATTACTATTTTTAAAGTCAAAAATAAGCTGTAATGATCGTTACGTAGTCGGTTGATTTTACGTTAAAACAGGTTGTTATGATCGTTCGTTAGGTAATTGCGCAATTCTAGGTCATAACGGCTTGTTAGGAGAAGATTTTGATGGTTTAAGATCATTAATTTTTGGCAAGAATTCCAGTAAAAACAGCATTAGGAAACGGGTTTGAAATTTATATTTAATTTGAAGCTAGACATAATGTTGTAGTGATGATTAGGTAACCGTATGGAATGAGGGTAGAATATAATATACATTTATAATGATCATTGCACAGTTCCATACTTTAGAGTTAAAACAGCCAGCAGTAATCTTTATATAAATACTTGATATTAGGGCAAAAACAGCATGTTTAGAAATTGTGTTGAAATATATATTTATTTTCATGTTAAAGGTAATTATATTATCTTAAAGCCATTCGTCAATACGTGAACATAGAAAGTTCTCGAATTCCTTATTATTTATCGCCTGTCTTTAGATTTATGCGATGACTATCATGGATTTAGATAGACAATCATCAACGTGGACTTCATTTACAATATGTTCAGCCGAATCTCTGTGTTGGGAAAGGTCAGCGGTAGAATGCCAATAATGGCCACAATAAAGGTTTAGATCAGATGATGTCCCGGCGTCCTCCTGAAGAAGGGGGTTCGTCGCAGCCTCCGTGCACCGCTGTTGAAGAGTTAGAGAATCCTCAGGAAGGCTCAGTAGAGCCCGCGAGGAACGACGGTGCGGTTGACGGCGTTTCGCGGAGGGTCGACGCCACAGCGGCGAGGAATCCGCGTGCGGGAAGGAGAACGACCGGCGGTACGTGCAGCACTAGGTCTACTTTCTGAAAAGGAATGTCTACCAGGCTGGTGACGATGTGGTCTGCCACGGCAACATCGTCCCCGCCGAAAACGCACACATGATTCATGATGCAAACTACTCTCAAATTAAACTGATGCTAAATGCAAGTGCTCCAGTCGTTTTATGTTTAGGTGAGGTCAATAACCGAACTGAAAGTGGTTCATATAAGATTTTTGCAGACAAAGGTCCGGTCGGCAGATGTGTAAGCGATTGTGATCTTGGATTATATTGTTGGTTTTACGAGGCAGGTACACTGACAATCTTTATTGATTACATGCGGTACGCATTGAACTGTTTCGGCAGACTTGAACAGTTTTCATATCGACTACTACAAAGTATTTTATGAACTGCACAAGGACTTTTTTTTTTTACAGAATTAGTGATAATATGATATTAGGTCTATGATGTGTACCTCGCTGAGCACTTTATATATACTTTGCATAAAAGAAAATATAAATTGATAGTAATCATATGAACTCTGCCAGTATACATGTGCGAAAGCATCATACGTATCCCCTATTGAATCATAAATAGACATCTACATAAACCTGGAATCATTTTATAATCCTGATTCCATAATGGCATACGCGTGACATTAATAAATAGAGGAAGAGGGAGTCCGCTTTTAAGATTCTCTATCAGGTCCTTCGCTCTTTCACTGCCAGCCCCACTCCGCTCCGAGTCTCAACTAGGATATATCATCTTGTAGATATCAGTGTCCCCGTTCTTCGCTCTTCGCGGCTTGTTGCTGTTCATTTGACTTATTTGTAGGGCGGTCTAGGTGTTCCATGGTAGAGCTGTATTGTTATACTGCGTTACCAGGCGTTACCCTAAGTTATGCAATGAGAGAATGAACATGAATTCCATTTCTGTGCGATTTTTTGTGTTTATTTCAACGCATACATGGAATGTTATTAATTCCACGCCTTGCGTAAAGCAAGACCTCCTGTGCATCATGGAATCTCATTACCTTGAAGGTTTTTAATGAGATTCTTAAAACCATTTTTCGGTCTCTCTTTCGGCCCCAGTCTCGCTCCCCGCAGGCCGCCTCAGCGCGGGAAAACAAGAGGGAGTCATCAGTCATTTGAGCCAAACTTTAATGAATCATTCCCTTTGATGTTGCGTTCTTATTTCCGAAGACATAAGACTGGAAAGTTCTTCACATCTTTTTTAGCTCCTTACTTTTCTACTTCCCCCTTCCGTGTCGGATTTTGCATTTCGTGTCTTTTATGTAATTCTTGGGCAGATATGCACTTTTCCCTTGCCCACTGTGGTTTGAAATCATAACAGAAATATATTTACGTCATTTATTTAATCAGTAGTGCTAGAAACGAGGCAGTTGTCCTCGCGTCTATCAAGATGTTCAGGCGAAAGTCTGTGCTCGAATAGATCGTCGGAACAGCTCCACCAGCGGCTACAGCAGAAGAGGGCATCACTCGAAGACGTCACCGCATCTTCTTGAAGACGTTTTGTTGGCGATCCATTCTGTTGCTGTCGAGGCGAAGGAACCGGAGGCCGACTCAGCAAAGCCCGGAGGATGGAGCCTTCCACGCGAGGAACGTCAGCGCGGCTGACGGCGTATCGGGGAGGGTCGACGCCGCAGCGGCGGAGAGCGGCGAGGAATCCGGGCAGATCCGCGTGCGGGAAGGAGAACGACTGGCGGTACATGACCTGCAGCACGAGGTACACCTGCTGGAGGGGAACGTCAGCCAGGCTGATGACGGAGTGCGCCCCTCGCAGCTCTGCGGCGAGGAGGGGCGAGGCAGCTGCCAGGACCACGCGGTGGCACAGGAGGGCGCCGCCCCTGCACACCAGGGTGACATCGAGGAACCTTCCGTGCGTCCTGGCAGACCACAGCTCGGCCACGGCAACGTCGTCCCCGCCGAAGACGCTCACTTGACTCATGATGGAAATTTTCTCAGAAACTAATTGTAAACACAAATTGTTCTCAGAGGAAACTGATGTCAAATGATGGCTGTTCTGCCAATTAATATACTCCATGTCAGGTCAGCCAACCTCTGGGAAAGGATCAGATTTACCTCAGTGAAACGATTCAAGGTCAGTCAGCACTCTGAGGTGAGTAGACATTTTCTGATTATGGGACCATTGCTACGTTGTCTTGAATAATAAAGCCGTTAAGAATAGGAGAGTTAAAAAAGACAGCTCGTTCACAGTCTCAGCGTCAATGCAACTTACAATGCATTGGAAAAAAATGATTCACTGTCATGACTGTGGTTATCGTGTCATTGTTACTATTACCCCACTATGTGACAATTTATATATAGTTACGATAGTATTACCTTTATTGTAGTAATATTATAATAATGGTTATTGTCATCATGATTATTATTAATACTATTTCTTCTTGTTGTTATTATTATTTTTGTTATTATTATGTTATCATTGTTGTAAGGACTATTCCTTATTATTACTACATCATTATTATTATTATTGTTATTGTTTTTATTACTATTATCACTATTATTGTTGTTATTATTATTGTTTATTGTTATTATTATTGTTATTATTATTATTATTATTATTATTATTATTGTTATTATTATTATTTATTATTATTTATTATTATTATTATACTACTACTACTACTATACTACTTACTATACTACTACTACTACTACTACTACTACTACTACTAACTACTTTGTCAAAGCTAGTATATGTCTCTTGCCCTGTGCTTTTGTCAGTAAGTACCTGTCATTCCTCGATTGATTTTATACAAACGAATGTACATGTATATCTCCAATTTGTTCGTAAGTTCTTCCTTGAAAAACTCTCCCTAACGGTTTCAAATGAAGGAAAAAATAAAATGGAACTATCATCGTATTCAACTCCACCTTCCAGTATACCGCATATGGTATACTGCATATCACACTCGTTGGTCCAAGCAGGTCAGCAGTGCCGGGAATCACCACCCTTGCCATAAGCTTCATATAATTGTCTCGCTTCAATTAATATCACTACATTTGGTTCTCGGTCCTCTTTGGTGTATAGTCTGTTCGAATGTAATATATTGTTATTATTATTGTTTTTAGGTAACTTTTTTCGGTTATTATTATTGTTTTAGGTAACTTTTTCGTATTATTATTGTTTTTAGGTAACTTTTTCGGTTATTATTATTGTTTAAGGTCACTTTCTCTGACATGTGCTTGCAGCTTCTCATCTACAGTACTCTACGCTTAAATGTTATGTGCGCTCTTATTTCATCTTGTGCTGTTAATCATCATCACCATCAAAGTTACCATCATTTTCATCATCATCATCATCAAAGTTACCATCATTTTCATCATCATCACCACACTCATAATCAACATGACTATTATCTTGATAGTTAGTGTTACTATTTTAATGTTATCATCATTTTCATTATATACTTTTTATCATTATCATGTATGTATTATTAGCATTAGAGTAATAGTATTAATAATAGTGATATTGATTATATATATTATGGATATTACCTTTTCATAATTTATCACTTGATTATTATTATCATTATTCTGCTTGATTAATCAACACAGTACCATTTAGTCGCGCCTAAAGTTACGAGAATCACCATTTCAGTATATTATTAGTATAAGAAATATACAATGAGAAGAGATAAAAAAAAAAAGAAAATGTAAACTGAAAACGAGAAACTTCAGGGTAAACTGTAGGAAAAAAATAATACTGGAAAATGAAAACAATAAAAATGAAAAACGAAAAAAGAATTCCATTTTAACATAACTGACACTTCACGTGGCTGTAGAGCGTCTAGGATTGTGAGGGAATCCGCTTACAGACAGACACGGCTGACTGAGAGGTTTGCACTTACATCGACTGTGGGGTATTATGCTCTGGGTCTGCAGTAAATGGAGACAAAAAAGATGAGACCAAAATCGCGATATAATGTAACACTTATAATGAATCAAAATCCCCTCTTACGGGTGGCTACGCTATACTCTTTCTGGCTGAAAAGTCAGAAAAAAACATATATTTTTTTTTTTTTTTTTTTTTTTTTTTTTTTGGTAAAGGAATGGCAAACAAACCCTCGGAAATACAAATTTTATTAAACATTTTATTAGAAATTTCAAAGAAAACTCGGGGAAAAAGACTAATGGTTTGGACATGCAATAAGAAGAGAAGATGAGTATGTATCTAAAAGTATAGTATATCAAATGGCAAGAACGCAAAGAGCCTAATTGAGCAAGATGCAATGGCAGATGAGCAGATGATGGAGAAGGCTGACTCGACACAACCCCATAGAAAAGAGGGTAAAACGGAGTGCAAAGAAATACAAACTTTATCAAACAGGAATAAGTAATACAATAATAACCGTAGATGCTTGTTTAATTAATAGTAGCAATGATAACGATGTCAATGACTAATTCTGATACGAATAATAATTATAATGGTTAACAAGATTGACATGTTGAGTATAATAAAAATATGAATTGATGATAAGGCACAAGCAAATACGTCAGTGCCTTAACCCTTACCAATGGCCATGATTATGTCAGATATGAATATGGAAGTCATATCCGTCTCTCTCTCTCTCTCTCTCTCTCTCTCGCTCTCTCTCTCTCTCTCTCCTCTCTCTGTCTCTCTCTCCTCTCTCTCTCTTCTCTCTCTTCTCCTCTCTCCTCTCTCTCTGTCTCTCCCTCCCTCCCTCCCCTCCCTCCCCTCCCTCCTTCCTCCTCCCTCCCCTCCCTTCCCTCCTACATCCTACTCTCCCTCCCCGCCTTTTATTCCCCCTCCTATTTCCCATTCACCATCCCTCCCCTTTTTCACCCATTCCTTCCTCGTCTCTCTCTCCCTCTCCCCCTTCACTCCCTTCCTCCCTCTTCCTCTCCTTCCCTCCTTCACTCCTTCCTTTGTCTCCTCTCTCTCTTCCAGCCTACTCTCCCTCTCTCCCTCAAACCCTCCTTTCCATCCATCTTATCTCCATCCGTCTCCCGTGAACCTTAAATTAAAAAAAAAAAAACAAAAGAAAAAAATAAAAGATAAAATCGAGTAATTTAATCAAAACATAGAGAAATAATCATTCATTCAATCCATAGAAAGTAAATAAGATCAATGGACGTATAAACCAGTAGATAAATAAATATACCGCATAATTTGACTAAAACGCATGGAAAATAAACGCATAAACTAAATAAACAAACGCATAAACTAACTAAATAAACCCATAAACTAACTATAAACGCGGCAGGCCCCCCCCCCGCTAACCCCACCACACCCCCCGCCTCCCGCCTCCCGCTCCGCACCCTAAATCTCGCAAAGGTATCTCGTGGCCGTTAAAAATTAATGAAGAAATGTACTCCGTCCGGCGGCCAATTGGCAGGGGAGGCTCGGTAATAATATTTCCTTAAAAGCTGGTGGTGGTAGGTAAGGGGTGAGGGGGGGAAGGGAGAGATTTGGGGTAAGGGAAGAGAGAGGAAGTCAGGGTATCGTGTTTGTGTGTCTTGGGGGTGGGAGGGGGGTGTTTAAAGACGGTTTGCGTTTTTATCATGTACTTTTTACATTAATATCATTATTATTATTATTTTATTTATTATTATTTTTTTTTTTGGGGGGGGGTTAATGCGATAATTTGGTTTTGGTTTGAAGTGCGCATGTCTCTATATGTGATAATGTTTTGATGATTTGATCAAAGACAATTTTTTTCTTTAAAAAATCATATAATATAAACTCCCTTCTCTTTTCATCTTTGAAATTTCCTTAAGATATTGTAGGCAATGCATCAATTGCTTTGATTTATTAAAGAGAAGACAAAAAGGGCATTTTGATATTACTAGTGAGATAGTGAGAGAAAAAAAAGGAAAGAGAGAGGTAGAAGAGAGAGAAAAAAAGGAAAGAGAGAGAGAGAGCGAGAGCGAGAGAGAAAGGGGAAGAGAGAGAGAGAGACAGAAATATATATAGCCAGATAGATGGATAGATATATACGTAAAAAGACTGTCAGATAGACAGACATTTCAGAAAGGAAGAAATGCAAGCAGACAGATGGATAGATAGATACTGAGATAGACCTAGAGGCATGTTTGCGTGTACGTGCGTGTGTGTGTGTGTGTGTGTGTGTGCATGAGTGCTTGCGTGCGTGTGTGTTTACATATATATAAATATATATATTTATTTATGTGCATATATATATAAATATAAATGTACACACACACACACACACACACACACACACACACACACACACACACACATCACATATAATATATATATATATATTATATATATATATATATATATATATATATATATATAATATTCACACACACACACATATATGTGTATGTATGTTTACATATACATATACATATATAAAATTGTATGCATATATGTATATATAAATAAACAAATATATACATAATCTAAATATTTGTGTATATATATATTTATATATGTGTGTGTGTGCGCGCGCGCGCGTGTGTTGTGTGCGGCGTGCGTGCGCGTGTGTGCGTGTGAGTGTGTATGTATGTATGCGTATTTATATGTATATGTATATATACACATACAAATAGAGAGAGAGAGAGAGGGAGGGAGAGAGAGAGAGAGAGAGAGAGAGAGAGAGAGAGAGAGAGAAGAAGAGAGAGAGAGAGAGAAGAGAAAGAGAGAAGAGAGGGAGGGAGAAAGGGAGAGAGAGAGAGAGAGAGAGGAGAGAGAGAAGAGAGAGAGAAGAGAGAAGAGAGAGAGAGAGAAGGGGGGGAAGTGGAAGAGAGAAGATGAGACAAACAATGCGTAAGAGAGAACTAAAGCGAGTGAAAATACAGACATATACGCAGACGGAGACTAAGAAAGAAAGCAAAAATGAGAGAGAAAAGAACGAGAGAAAAAAAAAACGTGAGAGAGAGAAAGAGAAAGACTACAAGCGAGAGAAAGAAAAATAGAAAAAGCGAGAGCGAATGAAAGAGAAAAACGAATGGGGAAAATAGCAAGAGAGAAAGAACGAAAGAGAGGAAAGCGAGAGAAAGAAAAATAGAAAAAGCGAGACCGAA